TGTAGGGAAGGAATTGAGGTACATGTCAAATCTGTCAGAGCTGACTTATATGGAAGTGAGTTGCCTAAACACCAGAAAGGATGGGTATGGGACCTTCGATGAAGCCTGTGTTGATCTGTGAACCAAAGACATTCAGCTTTCTTCATCCAGTATTGTTACTCTTATTGATTCATATCTCAGACTAATATCTTCAAATTCAGTAGGAAAATAATATGAGTTCTTGATTGTTCAGCCTCAGTTCCTGTTATACATTCTTTAAACAAAAAGTTACATGGGTTTAAAAAAATAATTTTAAAAATAGATTTGATACACATTGGTACAAATTGTAGTTTGAAATGGCTGTTTCTGTTCAGTTCAAACGTGTGTGTACATATCCATAAGCATACTGGCAGAAACCAAATGATCCAAAATTGGTTTAAACCCAACTGGATTTTCTTGGAGATTTTTGTATTGGCTTAACAGACGCTGTCAATCTTAGCCTTGGTAAACCAGGCTGCTCACATAGGCTATTCAGTCGCCTCTGAGTTTATGCTATGTGTGAATCTCTAATGGTGATTGTTGTACAGGATTGTGTTTTTTGATGCATCCTAATCAGACTGAAAACGGATGAAGTGATCTAGCTGCTTGGAAACCATGTAGACAAACTCACAATTTTATTAACTTTGCAGCTCAGTAAAATAATGGTTTTGTTAGTAATTAAATATATAGGTACCAACAGTGTGCTCAGTTAGATTAAATTAATAGTCATAGAATCATAGAATGTGTTGGGTTGGAAGGGACCTTTAAAGATCATCTAGTCCAACCCCCCTGCAGTAAGCATGGACATCTTTAACTAGATCAGGTTGCTCAGAGCCCCATCAAGCCTGACCTTGAATATCTGCAGGGATGGGACCTCCACTACTGCTCTGGGCAACCTGTGCCAATGTTTAGTTTACTATAGTGATAGTATCCTTTCTTTCTTTCAGACCCTATTGTTTCTTGCACTTCCTTTTTTAAAAAGAAGAATTATGTGTATGTTAAATGCTGTTATGGACTATTTATTCAGGTTCCCGGGATGGTTCAATGGGTCTTTGGGAAGTTACAGAGGATATGTTGTCCAAAAGCAATGCCAGGCATAAGCTCTCTCAAGTTCCTGTTTATGCCCACATAACACACAGGGCTCTGAAGGATATCCCCAAGGAGAACACCAATCCTGACAACTGCAAAGTCCGAGCATTGGCTTTCAACAATAAGGACAAGGTCAGTAAGATAAGCAAGACAGTTGAGAAGTCCTAAAACTGTCCATATGTATTAGAAAAATGCAGAAAAAAGGTAATCTAAATCAAATATACTAGAGAAGCAACCTAATATTTTTTTCCCTGATCCTTTGGCATCTTTCTCATGAGATTGTTGTATTTATCTGCTATGTCTGCTTCTGCCCCAAGTGCTTGGAGAAGTCTAGCAGAAAAAAAATAAATCAGAAGGAACAGTTTTCCTGTGGGTTTGATTTTAGACTTGTACCACAAAGGGTGTCTGACAAGGAATGTTAACAAGAAGCGGATAAAGCACCAAATCACCTCTTGTACAATAGCTTGAATCCCACTCTTGAGTGCTCTCTGCTTTCTTTAAGACTAGCTAACATTCAATCAGTTGCTGTTTTGATGGCTGAATGGTTACTGGATTGCTCAGCAAGTGAGGTGACTGGCACACAGGGCAGGCACCAGTGCTTGCTTTGGTGTTATTTTGTTGCCTTTTGACAAACAGTAAATGTTAACCTCCTCCATGCTGATCTCTTGTTATTACTAGAGAGGAATTGTGGGAGTAGCAATTCATCCCCCACTACTTTTCTTTCTGCCCTCAAAGAACAGAGAAGGTCTGAAGCAAAGGCAGATGTGCCATCAGAAGCATGGTGCTCTCGCAGGCTTTATTTTTCACTATAGCTGTTAATTACTTCTCTGTGATGAAGACTTTGAAACAAAGTTCGGAGCTTCCAAACTTCCTTGCTTTCTAACACTCCTCATAGTAGTGGGAGGCTAGGTGAGGCTGGGCAAGGATTCTGAGATAAATAACTCAATAACAACCAAGTTGTTATTAAGCAGGTATTCTTTATTACTGCTGGGTAGCACTGGGATACTCCTCCATGAGTGCTACAACGAGCGAGCAAAACACACCGACTTATATACAGGAAAAGCATACATATTCATCAAATTTCCTGGAGAAGGCAGTCTCATGCTAATGGCTTCCCGAAATTCTTTTACATAGTCCAAGCATGCGTAGTAAAATTGGGATTAGGGTCTTCTCCCCCTCTGGTGGTCATGCATAGTCTTCCTCACAGTGTCCGCTAGTTGAACTTAGGGTTTCCTTTGGCCATATATGGTCCCGGCTTTAGCTCTTCCATCCTTTGGCCCTGGAGTGTCAGTTTAAACCAGCTCCCGGGTGCGCTTATCTTGACACCAGAGTCCTCTTTGTCCTCTTTGGCACTTATCTTAATGTCTTGAGCCACTGTTATCAGGGATGTGCCCAGAAAGCTTAACAGACCATCTCAAGGCCTATTTGATCTCACCTGGCAAGGAGTTACAGGTAACACTGTGCAAATGAAGCTAGGAAAAGAGTACAAGTGAGGCTTCTCTATAACACAATAAAAATACGAGTAAAACTTATATGTAAAAACTTATATGTATCGACTTGGGATGACCAAGGATATCAATCCTTTTAACATTATGTAGCTTTTTCAGTATAGTTGTCCCTGGAAAGAAGTGTTTACTTCAGGATCAGAATTAGTGTGGAAGCTGTTGTAGAGAATTTCCAACCCCAGCTTGTACTGTCTAATGATCCATTATTTGGTTGTCTAACAAGATGTATACTTTTGAAAGTTATTTTTGGTTATTTACTGTTATATTAATTCTTATTCTACCTGGCACCTTTGTGCTATATTGCATTCTATCAAGATCAATATAAAATGAAAATTTAACTTGATAAGCACGTATAAGATTATGGATGAGTTCAATCGGGAGTATGCAGCCTGTCTAGTAGAGATTGTGAGTTTTTAAGGACAGCTATAATAAAAAAATTAACTCTCTCTGTTTTTTTTAATAGGAACTAGGAGCTCTGTCCCTAGATGGGTATTTTCATCTTTGGAAAGCAGAGCACATGCTATCAAAGGTCCTTTTCTGTTTGTTGGTTTAAAATTTCAAAAACTGCTTAGCAGTTAAAGCTGTTCACTATTCTTCATCTCCTTAAAATGTTTGAAGAAAGAGCAGTAGTGTTTGTAAAACACTTAAAACCTTTATGTAAAATGAAATTACCTAATAATTAGAACCTGGGGAGAGAAACTTCCCACTCCTCCTATTTTGGAGAGTGGGAGGTGTTCTTAACTTTCTGCCAGTTCTGGGTGAGCTGAAATGAACTGTTCCATAGAGTATGATGGATACTTGATTAGCAGTGTTCATAAAGGAAGTTGCACTTAAATAAGTGTAATTGCAGTTCCAACCCAGAAATATCTATGCTAGTGTATGAGGTATGCTTTTTCAGCTGAGAGCTGATATCTGTGTACACCTGCTGTAGAAATAACAGCAGCTTAGAAAGATATAAAACAATTTACAAAAATGTCCATTGTTCTTTGCATAATACTTGGCTTCAGCCTTTATCATCTTAGTTTGGTTCAGATAAGGCATACAATCTCCTTCAGGTATTTTTTCCTCTGGGTCAGATTGTTGCTTTTCTCTTAAAGTTCTATTGTTGTTATGAAGTTATTTTTTTAGCTGCATTCTGGGTTTTTTTCACTGCAACTTTCTCAAACACTGCTTACAGAATTGTTCTATTAATGATTTGCTCTTTTCTCATAATTCATTGATTTGTCTTTCCTTTGTTTCCAGTTACTTTCCACAAAGTTGCCATACTGCAGGGAGAACGTGTGTTTGGCCTATGGTCAGGAGTGGTCAGTGTATGCAATAGGATCGCAGGCACATGTCTCCTTTCTGGATCCCAGACAGCCTTCTCACAATGTTAAATCTGTCTGTTCCAAAGAACGAGGCAGTGGTAAGTAACTGGTCAAAGGGTGCTTCAAATGGTTTTCTTGCAGAAGTTGATATTAATATTGCAGTAAGATAAGCTTTTAATAAATAGGAAAGGTTTTTCATGTTATATACTAAATCATTAATAGTATATGTAGATTTTGCTTTTATGACAGTATTCCTTGAGAAACCAACAAACTCAACTTAAAAGCAACTCTGAAATCTAATGCTAAACAACATTACTGTTTTTGTGATCAACTAAATTGCACATCATCCAAATATTACTGAACTTTTAAAAGTGTGCATTTTACTTCTACTTATTTTTTACTGTGTCTTATTCTGGTTTACTTCATCTCAAAGAAAATCCAGTCTTCGTACCACTATTAATAGTCTATTCTTGCATTTTTCTTTGGGAACAGAAAAAAAAGCATACTGTCTGCTCTGTGCTATCATATTGGGAGTCTATGTTGTGAGTGAATGCTTGCTTTGTAATTTTAAAGCCATGAATGAGATATTTTCAGTGTGCATTTATTTGCTTTAAATATACATAAGCTCACTCAAAAAAAAAAAAGCTTGCAAATTTGAGTGCTGTTTTCCTTTTCTGATGTGAATGCAATATGTCTAATTGAACCTTATACCAGGGCCAAGCACGAGAGCTTGCAGGGTGCATGGTCCCATAAGCTTCTTCTCATACCCTTTATTTTCAAGGATGGGTAGGCGCTGTGCTGTGATGCCCATTTTAAACCATATTAAGCCTAGACTAATAAGTTGCAGTTCTTATTTATCTTGGCTCTAGGCATCTATTTCTTCATTGGTCAAGTTATCAAAAGAGAATGCATGTAGGCAAGGATTAGGAAAGTTTTATTTATGAGGTTACTGGATTTTGAACAAGGCTGTCTAGATAAATGTCAGGGCCCGTTTCTTTCACATATGGGAGAAGTTTCTATAATATGAGAAAAGGCGCTTCACCAGCTCATGTTGTCACCAGCTCATGTTGTCACTTGAACATCTTGCCAGCAACAGCCCTTGTCTTGATCTGCTGTCAGTAAGGGCTCTGGAGGTCCTGACACTGTCACTCTTCAGCATCAGGGAAAAAATGCCAAGACACTGAAATGTGGTGCCCAGTGGTGACTGGTGGCTGAAAGCTGCCCTGAGTATGTGATCATCCCTGCTAGGGGGATGATCTATGTGTAGGTAGTATCTCTGGGGCACTAGTTCATGTCTATCGCCATATCCCGCAGTAGTAGAGGGGAG